AATTACTATAAAATATTGCGACTGAATGCGACTGAAAAATTATTAATGGTTCATGAATTATGAAATTAGCTGTAATAATAAAATTTCTTTTTTTAAAAATATAAATTTTATGAAAAAAATTTTGCTCTTAATTTCTTAGATTATTATGATGTTTATCATAAATCATTCTGATTTATTTTCTATTATAATCTCTTTCAATTTTAAATTAATATCATTTTTACTTTATTAATTTCATCAAAACTTTATTTATTTGATCACAAAATTATTTATACTCATTTTACTGATATTAAAAAATTAAGCTTATCTAGATCTCAAAATAAATGATAGGTATCCAATCTATGTATTATGGGTCTATTAAAATAGATTAAGTTTGCTAATTACACTAATACCTAGAATTGAAAAATACAATGCTAGTATAATAATTAGTATAGTAAGTATAATTTTTATATAATAATTAATATATAAAAATAATATTAATATTTTATAAGATTATATTTATATAAATTTTATAATTTTAAAATAATAAATTTAATAAAAAAAATTAATTTTAAATATTTTATAGATATATGAAATTGTTTAAAACTATCCAATTAATTGTATTATGTAGCTCTAGACAATCATTTCCCATTTGGTATTCAACCAATTGATAAATCAATATTATATTTTATATAGATTTAATTTAATTAAAGATTTACAACTATATTAATTCACAGGTGTTGATGAAACTATAAGACGAATTTAAAATATTTTCATTTTATTTTAATAATTCATTATTGCACATGATGTCCCTTAGATTTCCAAGGGTGATACATAACAATAAGACTATAATTTTCGGTTTTAAGAAGGAATTCAATTATGCAAAATCCATTTTTTCATTATTCATTTTTTTAACACAAATGCTGTATTATTGTGGCGTTATTTTAAAAACGGACACATCGGACACATTTCATCATAGAATCCGAATTAACAATCCATTTTAGGCGAGATTGTACGTTCATTACACCAGGTTTTTTTTTTTGTTTCGAGACTTTCCCGTTTCATGATATTTAAACTTTCCTTATTTGGTGAAACAAATTACAACTTTTCTTTTTCTTTTTCTCGATGAAATTATGTCGAATAGATATTCGCGTGACTTCTCTCAAATATTGTCTTTTTTATCAAAACCTTAACCCAGGAGGGAATCAAAAAAAAATTCTTATTAGTTTTTAAATTTTTCAATAAAGAAATTGTTTGTAAGTGGTCAATTGTATATAATGACACAAAATATGAAAATCTATATAAATATTTGTATGGTGTGTGTCAGCTTCTTTTAGAATACATACATCTTCCAAGAAAAAGCCTTGATTTTTTTTTTTTTTTTTTCGTTTCCATTAATTCCATTCAATAATAATAATAATAATCATAATAATAATAAATATGGCCGTCTCAATAGTAAATTACCCACAAACCAACGAAGCATCGAATTTAGTATCAGTAACGGAATATAACGATGAAAATATTTCTTTAACTAGTTTTCTTCCTTCACATGCTCAACAAGCTTTACCACGACTTCCTATCTTTGAAACTGTTGCCGTTATACCGCAGCACCAAAATGGAAAAGGAGCGAATAAAAGTGTTCATTCTTTTAATAACCTTTGCCACGACTTTAAAAGTCACGATTCTTTTCCACGTTTCGTACCGCGGAACTCATCGTCCACTAATCGTCATAGTATGTATTGTGGTGACTTACCTTCAAATTTACATCATCAAATAAACCGTAGTAACGGTAGCAATAAGCCACCTAAAATGCGAAGAAGAGCAGCTAGTTTTGGTGAAAGCTCAGTCGTATATAATAATAATATTAATAATAATTCAACTTCAAAATCGAAACGTATTACTCCGTTAATTATTAATGTACCTTCGAAAACGGATAAAATTAGATCGCCGAAGTCCTCTCAAAACTCTTCTCCTAAAGAAAATTCATCACCAAAAAATTCACCAAACTCTTCAAGAATACAACATCATATAGAAGCAAAGCAAGAAATATTGGATATTAATAAAATACAAAAAATTGAAACAATTGAGAAAGATGAAGTAACCAATAATAATAATAATACTGTTGTTGATGATAATCCAAGTCAAAAAGAAAATGAATTAGACAAATCACCATCAAATAAGATTCACGGGCGTACTGATTCCGTTCAAATCAGTGAAACCCTTATAGAAAACAATAGTATTGAAAATCCCCAATCAAACAATAATTCCAATTTGATAAATTCACAATCACAACCAAATAATCGAGCATTTTTTCGACATACAATTATATTAAATAATAATGCTAGTGGTTCAAGTACTGATCTCAGAAAATCCATGTATAAAGAACCATCATTTACAAAAAAATTAAGAAAGGTTTTTAGTTTAAGCAATATTAGGCAAGACGATCATAATTCGAACAGTACGACTTCATCAGCCGCTAATTCTAGATCTTCTTCACCCGTCTTTAATAATAGATTTTCTTCGCTTCGAGGAAAAAAAAATCACTTATATAATTTAAATGATAATGATGACGGCAATTCTTCATCTAATAACAATGAAAAAGATGATGATACATCGGTATCATCAACTTCATCTAACGGTGATAATATTCTTGCCACTACAAAAGATCTCAACAATAACAACAAATCTCGTCGTCGAACATTTGATTTTCAATCATTATTTTCCAAAAACGACAAAAAACGTAACCAGAAAGATCGTCATAAAAAGCAACAACAGCGTCATCGATCACATCTTGAACAATCAATATCATCATCTTCAGTTCAACAAAATCATGATAATGATGATTCTTTGAATGAATTGAAAGGAAACGGTGATAACAACAAAGGGAAGCAACCAAATGGGAACGAAATTGAAAACGGAAATAAACAAGCGAGCGACGATTCTGGTAAGAGAGAAGGATTTTACATCAATTTATTAATTGATTTAAGATATAAAATTTTACTAATTCAAAATAATGGCAATAATTATAAAGCACCTATTCCTCCACGAATTTCATCATTACAGTCTTTGAATGATCAACAAGTTTCATCAAATAAGGTTCATCAAAATTCTACCTCACCTCTTCAGAATCCATTCCGTGTTAAGAAATCAGAAAATCAAGGTGAAGAAAAAAACAATTCTCCGGTATCATCATCATTACAATCATCTTCACGTGGCATTCAAAGACCATCATCGTTACCAGCGACTGCAAAGAATCAAGAACCTTCATTCACTTCCCCAACTCCAAGACGATTAAGCGTTCCCGTTCCTCTTTCTATTCTCAATTCAAATGCGTCTCGTTCTGATCCTTCTCTAGTTGTGGTCAGGGATATTGATGTACCACCTGCTCCTTCCACACCTTCCGCAAAGAAACTTCAATTTTCTTCGTCTATTCTTGTTCATGAAACTTGGACACGCGATGATTATGATCGACGTGGTGATCAGTCTACTTGTAACAAATTAACTTCAATCCTTGCACAAAGAATTAAACAAGAATTAAATGAGTACAAAATTTCTGAAATGCAGGTTCATGAAGATAGTAAGCATAATACTCACTTCTTTTCCTAAACGATTTATGCAGAAGCACTCTTAAAGTTTTTGTCCAAACGAATTTATGTAAAGTCAATACGACTGTTGAACAGTGTAATGATGACTTTGACTGCCCTTTAAGTTTTTTAAACTTCAATTTATAGATTTTTTTGTGATTTTCTTTATTTATATTCGTAAATTGATCCTCTCTTTTTTTTGGTGACAATGAACAATGGTCAATTTCTCTCATTTATTCCCTCTATATTTCTTTTTAAAAATGTATGATAGTTTTTTTTTGAGCACACGAGTGACTTTTCTTTTCTTTGTAATTTTTTATTTTTATTTATTTACTTTTCGATTTATTGATTTATTTATTATATTATATTATTTTATCTATAAAAATCTACAAAAAAAAAAAATCTATAGTTTTTATTTATGTTGCATTAATTATTTGTAGACTTATTTAGAATATTTTGTGGGTTGGATTATATAGACTCGGGTAATTAGAGAGGTTGAACTTTTTTGTTTATAACACATTTAAAAGCATTTTGGAAGGAAAAAAAAAAAAAGAAATTATTAAAAAAAAAGTTTTTTATTATCATTAAAATCATTATAATTTAAAATACCGAAAAACTCTATAAAGATTCTAATCACTCAAAATCCATAAAGTCCGAAGCTTTTTTATTTTTCATTTGTGACATCATAAGTTCTACATCATAAAAATCAGCTTTGCGTCTATGTGTGGAAGGGATTAATCCTATAAATATAAAAAGTAGTAATTAATGAAATGTATATGAAAAGACGTTTGAGAGGTGAGAGAATTTTGAATAAGAAACCTACCAAATGATCTTGCACGTTTAATAGCCTTTGCCAATTTTCTTTGATTTTTTGCCGTCAAACCTAATAAATAAGTCGTAAAAATTTAACCGGATCCAAAGTATCGTGGGTCATATCGATCAAACTTACCTGTAATCGATCTTGGAAGAATTCTACCCATATCAGAAACAAAATTGGAAAGTAACTTGTAATTCTATTTATTTTCACAAACTATTATTAAAACTCCAATAAATATTCAAAATGGTTAAATCAAAAATAAATATAAGAAATTGTTACTTGCCTTGTATTCGACTAATGGATTAAGTTTTAAAGCATTAAATATATCGACAGATGGTGGTTTTCTTGTAGATCTACCCGTATTTCTTTTACCTTTATACTTGTCTTCATTTAATTCATATGGAGCATATAACTATAAAATCAAACCAGTTAATAATAATAGATAGTTGACTTTTCAGTCAGGATTAGAATTACGTACTTCCCCGTATCGAAAAATCTTCCCATATTTAACTTGTGATTCGATAGCATGAGTTTGATTACCTTTTTTTTTTTTTTAAAGAAAAAAATGTTTAATAATTCTTGTTCAAATGGCTTACACAAGAAAATATGGATATAACTGACTCATTGCAGTTGATTCTCGAAGGATTTCCATGATTTTAGAATGAGGATCTTGTCCACCTGAACATGAATTTATCAAAAAGTCATCTTTATTAGAATTTATATAACGATACGTCATCGTACTTGGTGATGATTTATATCGATGAATTAGAACGACATTATCAATCAAAGTACTAGTAATAAAAAAAATATCCACCCAATTCAATTAAATTATGTATTAATTACCATTATTATCACCGACACTTTTGCTAGCTTCAGTGTTTTTTGATGAAATTTGACGATAAAATATGTGTTGTAGCGTTGACTCCCGAATTAATGAAAGAGAATTACGGAGATTACCACCAAAACAAATTATATTCGCATTTGTTAAGTAACTCAAAGGTCGAAATAATGGTGAAATTTTTTGAGAAAAGAATGTAAGTCGATGCATCTGTATCTTTGTTAAAGATTTAAAGATTTATAAATTACCTGTAGTTAAAATATAGGATCAGCGAATAGATCGACTAGAGGTTTCAACAAATGAGATAATAATATGCCATCTTAGGAAAAACTGCCATTGGTATATCTCATTTGAATAGTGCTTATGCAAGTAGTCGATCCACCCATGTATAATATTATTAACTATTTAAAAAGATTACTAAAATAAAATCTGGGACTTTAACAAGTATTCTAATTGATAAGATATAAACTTATAAAATAATAAAACTTAAAATCTTATATATTAAAGGTCAAATAAACAAATTTATTTGTTTTTCATAAAAAAAAAAAAATTATTAAATTTAATCCAGCTTCAGCAAAAAAAAATCTTTTTTCAATCAAAGTAACTAATCAAAATTTGTATTCTTTAAATTAAAATGTAAATTAAAAATTTTTTTCACATTCTTTTTTTTAACAAAAAGTTTATAGTTTTCTTTTTAATAAAGTAGTAAAGCATTTTTTTATTAACAAAATTTAGTTTTCTTTTTTCTATTAAAAAATGTTTTCTACTAATATAAAAAGTTGAATTAAGTAATAGAAAGAAGTACTTAAATGGTAAATATAACCTATCATTAAAATCTTTTATTATATAAATTTTTTTATTTATTGGCAACTAGACAAATTTCACCAGAAATTTTTATTAATTAAGATTATCAAGATTTTTTATTAAAAGTAAAAATAGAAATTCAATAAAGAAAAAATTTTGATATTAATATTCAATATGAACTTAATAAATTTGCATAAATTTTGAGAATTTTGTTTTATTTTAGTTGTAAATCCAGAAGATTGTTAATTATTATAAAAAGAAAAAAAGATTTAATTAGTTTAACTTTCTTTCAAATTATCAAAAAAGTTAAATAAAAAGGATTTTTACATCAGAATATAACAAAATGAATAAAAGTTAATGATAGAAATTAAAAAAAAAAAATAAAATTTATAGGAAATTCTTTATTTAATGAATGGTATAAAATTTGAAGTAAAGTAAATAATGAGACTATCTGGTTTTACTCATGCATTTCTGTAATTATTGCAAATTAGCCAGAAGTAGCAACTTTTTGTTTAACTTATAAGTCTACCAATTCAAATTTTTCTTGTTATTTTTACTTGATAACAAAGAATAATCTTGCAAAATTAAATTTGTTAGCTGATGATACAAAACTGAGATCTCATGAAAATATGCATAAACATTTTGATGAACATACTGAAAAATCTGTTAGTATTGAATCAGTATCTAATTTTTTTCTGAAATTTACCGTAAGTATTTATAATTTAACATAAAGTCAAATATTATATTATAATAATTATTATTTTAAACCTTTAGAAACATAAATATCTATTTATCTACAGTGCCTAATAGAATGTATCATTTTGATCTCAGTTTGTTTTGCTATCAAATTGATTTTATGTGAAAATTATTATGATCCTAATATAACAATACTTTAGTTAACGAAATAGATTTCTGTATAGTCACAATTCCTCATTTTCCTAATTTCTAAAGGATTACAAATTGCAAGGCTAACTGCTAATGAATATCAGTCTTTGATGAAACAAATGATATTCATATTAGATAATTTATATAATAAAAATGATAAAAAAGTAAATAATTTCATAAATAACAACGAACTTGTAAAATTATATGAAAGTTGAAATCAAATTTTACATTATAAGTAGATATGAAAAATTTAGTGAAGCTGATCTCAATAAATTTAAAGTAAGCTGATAAATATTTTTATTAAATTAAATATAAAAAAATAAAAACTAATAATAAAATTTTTTAGAATGCAATAAATAATTGGGCTAAAAGGTTTATCTGAATTTTTGAATTTATTTTCTGTTCCAACCTAAAGTTTTTGAAGTTGTATTCATGGGTATATCACAATATTGATTTTATATTATTATACGATATAATAAATAGCTATACAATAGAAACTTACGAAAGCTTTCATAAGGATTTTATTAAAATCTCATATAGAATAAACAACAAAAAGAATATTGAAACTCAGCTTTTACAAACTGTAAGTATTTAATAATTTTTTTTTTTTATAATTAATAATAATATGATATCAAATATTAACAGATAAGGATATCACATATATTCTTTCAATAAATAGCAATATTAACAAAATTATTTTATCTATACAACTTTTCTGAAAAGCTTTTTGAATTTTCATTATAAAATACAAATACATTTTTTAACAAAATAAAAGAAACTATTACAATTAATAATAAAATAGAAGTTGAGCTTGACAAGTTTTTAGGTTGTCTGGATTTTTATCTGAAATTACTTCAAAATCTAATAATTGATGAAAGTCTTGTAAAAATATATAGATTAATGATTTTAGAAAATAGTGTTATAATGTGTGCTACTAGCAAATATTACAATAGAGCATAATTTAATAGAGTAGCAATTTCAATGGATTCTGAAGAATCGAATAATTATACATCAGATCAAATAATTTGCTATGAACAGGTTAGTTAATTTAATAATTTTAATTATTTATTAATATTCAGTAGTTATTATTCTAACAAGTTATTAACATTTATTCTTTATTGTTTTAGGCTTTATTATTGGCAGAAATATGAATAGAAAAACGCTGTCCTCTATTAAATCTTGTGTTAATTTAGTGGTTTGATTTCAAATCTCAAA